GTCCCTCTGCTCCTCTTGCCTCAAGCTGTGATGTGGAGTGTAGGTCGAGAAAGATTCGCAAAGAACGTCAGGTCCTGATTGTTGGCGAGATACAATCGGTATCCAGCGATGATCGTTCTACCTACGACCTTGGACTGTGTAGAAAGCCGATATAGTCAGCTAGAGTCGCCGAGCAGAGCTCTAAGACGATGAAGATCCGACCGGGCTCGCTCCATGCCTCGACGAAGCGCACAACCGCGTCGTGACTGATCGTTCGGTGGATTCGTATCTCTTCGCGCGCAACTTGAGAATGGATCAGCCCAGAAGACCGGATTATCTTGATTGCCACAGGCTGAGACGGAGCCGTATATGGTAGTGTAGCGTGGAGTAAGCGCCCCTGTAACATGCTGCATCTTCGATGATGCGGACTCACAGTTTTGCTGCCAGCGGATGTCGCTTCATAGACTTGGCCGAAAGCGCCTTCCCCTAGAATTCGAGTAGCTTCGTACATCATACCGCTTCTCGTCATTTGTTGCAGCGTGCAGCGAATTTCGATCGCAGCAAGATGCTGACGAATGAATGGGGTGGACTTTTGCTGGCCGATGCACTTGCGTGCGACTCGTTGTGATCGCGGGCAGTGTCCCCCACGTGATGTCAAGCTCCGATGTAGGGAGCGGGCCTAGAAAGTAGGCGGAATCGTCTCACCCGTACTTGTACGAATGGACCGTGAGCTCGAGTCGGAACCGGCCTTGGACTCCTGTGGACGAGGCCGACGACACGGCAAGGGATCGAGTGCGTGCACTCAGCGAGAGCAGACAAGGGACAGGGCTTGATCTGGGGATGTACTCCCCATGCAGCGCAGAAACTCTGCGCGACGCGAAGAACACCGTCGGACGACTGCGTTCTTCAGGCTCTATAGGCTCTGTTCAAGTCGGTGGGATGCGTCTGACTTGATCCGAGTGCCGACCATTTGGCGCAATCACCCCTTCGCAAGGCTTCAGCCCTCGTGTGTCAGCCTCGAGCGGACCGAGCGGGATGGCTCGCACGCAGTTCCGTATCTGTGCGCTTTGCGCTCTGCGCTCTGCGCTCTGCGCTCTGCGCTCTGCAGGACAGCGGCTGACATGAAGGAAAAGAACATTGTTTGCGACTAGTTTGTCGAGGGTGCGTCAGAAGGGTGTGCGCGCGAGCATTACGAGACGAAAAGAACAATGCCGGTCGGATCGCTTCTCGAGCGAAGAGAAGGCGGTCGATTATTCTCTCTTCTGCGTTCCAGTCCGCCTCACGAAGGCTCGAAACCTGTACAGAGAGGAACGAGCGCCGTGTGTACCTCCTTCTTTGCAAAGACGAGGTCGAGATCGTCTGGATGTACGCCATCCGTGTTCCCAGCACAGCACGTGGAGGACCGAGCGTGGCCATGAGAAAGACTCCGCAGCGCGTCAAGATGGCTTGCGAGGTCCGAACGCGGGGGCCCCAGCTTGCTGAGACTTCCTGAGTAGGTCGCTGGCTGTTGCAACTTTCGTGTGCTCAAGAGCCCGAGCGTGGGCGTGAGAAACACGATGCAGCTGGTCAGCTTGGCCGACATGGCGGTTCGTGATCGTGCGTAGGGGGACCGAGCGTGACCGTGAGATTTCTGCGGCGCATCATGGCATCTCGGCAGCTTGCAAGATCCAAGCGCATGGGTCCGAGCTTGCCCTTCTCAATCACGAAAGATCTGATGCCTACCACTTGTGTGGGTTTCGAGGACCGAGCGCGACCGTGAGAACGGCAAAGCTGACCAGCCTGCATTCTCCGGCCGGCCGTTGAGGGCTCGCGCTTTGTGAGGGAGAAGACCTCAAGCGTCAAGGCTGAAGAGCACGTCCCTCAAAAATCGTTGATCCTACCCGTGACATGAGGTCCGACTTCTCGTAAGCCTGGAGACTCTGCTGCCTATCTTCAAGATCCCTAAACTGCTGGTGACTGATGGCATGCATGACCTACCGTTTCCTAGGTCTACCTTCCTTTTGGTCTACTCCCCTATTGCACCCGTTTTACCCGTTTTACGACCTTGTGTTGCGGCGCGCATCATCAAGCATGCCGGCAAAGCCTTATCCGACGCTCGAGTACATAACTGCGATACCTCATCTGATTGGCCCCTCCATGCCCTTTGTCACTCTTGATCCCGCAGCTGGCTCCAGGACAGCATCTTCACCAAGATAATGAGGGAGAGTGACGGCCCGCGTGACCCCGACACGCCTTCTTTGACCACTCTGACCGTGTCTCCCGAACAAGTCGCTGCCGTTCCGGGGATGTCAGACCTCATCGAATCGATCCGACAATACGTGACGCCTGACAGACCTGAAAATGGTGCAGGAAACGTTGCGATCGTCTTTTCTGCGATTTTCACGGCCCTGCGCACCGGCGGCGTGACGATGGAAAGAAATCGTCTGGCCCTATCGCACTTCCAGTTCGGGTTCCGCGGCGAGGGATACGAGGTGAGCTGTGCTACGTAAGACCTGCTGCTATTTGCATGGCCGGCTCACGTATCCTTCCTTCTCTGACAGATCCCGCTCTCGTTGTCCCTGCTTCACGCAGCTTCGCAAACGCAGCCTTTGGACGCTTCAGGCGCGTCTCCTGGGAGCGTGGACCGTCGCAGTCCAAGAAAGAGGAAACATGCGAAGGCTGCGGCTCAGGAAGCATGCACTCGGCACACGCTCTTGCTCAAGAAGCTTTTCGAGAGGGTCGAGGCCGCGAGTGGTGACTCTCGAACGCTCGCGCGTCACCTTAGCGCCAGGGCCGTAGTATCTTCCGCGTCTCCCCCGTCGCCGGGCACGATCACGGCTTCTGCAGTGGCAGAACAGCTCGAAGAGCTGCTGGATCGAGAGTCCGAGTGCAAGAGGGCGACGAGAAGAGTCTACGAAGCCTACGCGCAGCTCGGGGATTCCTTCGTCGGACTTGTCGCTCATGTTTGCCAGGACACACCACCGTCGGCCGAAACGAAGGCGTTTCACCGAAAGTGTTTCGCGATTTTGGAGGACGTTACGACTCGTTGGACAAGGCGGGCCGAGCTGAGTCGGCCTGCTCTCGTCAAGCGCTTGGAGCGGGCAAGGAAGATTCATCTGCTTGCGCGCTGCTTCGGCGAGCAAGTCCTGACCAGCGAAGCTCTGACGATGCGTCTGGTCGACAGAACCACGTTCCAATCGTTCTCTATCCTCCTGCAAGAAGCAGCTCAAGCTCCACGCGCAAGTGAGAGCGAAGAAGCGTCTGCAAAATGGAACGCTGCCGTCCCCGGTACGCGCTGAAATGGGACCAAGACGAGAAACTCAGAGACACGGTGTCGTTGTCAATCTTTGCACTTGAGCTTAAAAAGCGGACCTAGGGAGGGGAAGGCGCTGATTAATTCGTAACCGCGCACTTTCATCGTCCCACAGAAGTGGAATTTCTGCATCCACATTGCATTGCGAAACACTTTTAGAGAAGACGAGCCGCTCTGTGAAGAGCATTTGTCGCCTCGAGGAGCAATACCTTCTCCAGGAGAGCAGCGTGGATGCTCCGAGAGAATGAGCATGCATGAGGGTGTGCGTGAGCACGTCACTGCCAGACTGAGCGACAAACACACCTGCAGTGGACCGACAGCCTGAATCCAGGGTCCCCGGGTGCATCTCTTACGCCGAGGCTGCAGATGCGAGCGCAGTGAGTCGGAGTCGCGGGGTCGCCCTGCGTCCCGAAAGTCCGACCCAGATCCGGCAACAACAGGATCCGACTTCTTTGCAAAGCTTTCAGCGCACATAGGCAGGTGCGGGTCACGTCACGCTCCGTGCCGAATTTGTTAAAGTTTCATTCGGAGCTGTTCAGCACCCAGGGTTCGCCACGTGGCAAAAGAAGGGGAAGGGAAACACAAGCTCACTGCAGCCGGACCACGCTACCCTTCGCGGCCCTGCAAACAAGTCGCGGCGACCGAGTGAAAATAGTCTTCTGACGCGTCTCCCTTGCAGCTCTAACCATTATGGCTTCAATGAGCTGATTGGAGGAACAGCATGGAGCAATGAAAATTAGCAGACTTTGTGAAACTGAATGTCATCGCTTGCTCTTACTGCATGAAGCCATTCGTCAGTTTCCGCATGGTCTTGCGGACGAGATCGCACGGGTCGACGCCTGTAAAGATCAGCGAATACGGTCAGACCCAAGGCTTCGAATATCGAGGGGATGATTGAGATCCACCGATGAAGTTTTGGGAAAGAAAACGGCAGTGTCTCTGGGTTTGTATCTGCGGTCGCACCATCATGTCAAATTGAACTTGAATCCAATACGATCTTCTCTGGGCGCTTCAAGGCATCTACTCTAGACATATTGCCCTGTGCAAACTCTGTCTCGTTGCTTGGCGCTAGGTATGGCGTGCGCGAGAGGCTCTATATGAAATCAAGTTCACGTCCTTTACGCAATGCTCGCCGCGAACGTGGTGTGGGAAGAACGATCAGCGGGACGAAGGCAAGCAAACGCGAAGGAGGAAGTCTTAATGTCATGGTTGAGACTATCTTCAGTCCTTCGCGCCTGGAAGATTACGCATCCCCCGTGCCTACCCTTGGCATGCACAATAATGTGGCTGGTGAGAGATCTCCTATCTCGCGAGCGGATCACATCGGCTGGGGCATCTGACGCGCTCATCGGGCTCAAAGGAGGATGATGAAAAGATAAAGCATGCGAACACTTTTGGGATTATTTCTGAGGCGCGGCCCGAATTCCGGGGCGGCTGGCTCGAAATTACTTCTTCCCATGTAGCTTCTGGAAATCATGACGAATATCAATATTGTGGCGAGCAGCATGATGGCATCCGATTTATAGTCGAACAAGACATCCTCGTCAAAGGGCGGACGCAGAGAGACACCAAATTGCCGTCTTTACAGCTGCTCCTGCCCTAGGTCCGCCTCCTAGCCCGGTGCGACCAGATTTCTGCACATCGCGATCAAGCAATGTGTGATCTGTCACTAAGGCAAACACTGGATGAATTTAAAGCAGTGCACATGGCTGACGTGCAGACCAAGACGCGCTAGAGTCTGTCCCTCGTGTCCGCAGCGGACTTGTGCGCCTTGATGAGCGCGCTCGTTTCGAGCATCATCATCTTCTGACTTACCACGGTGCGCAATGATGCGCTTGTGCGGCGGTGCCCCGAGACTGCCTATACTGATCGCAAGCAGATGAAGCGCCCGCTTGGAAGGCCACCAACTTTCTCGGCGGGAGTGTCGCCGTGAGG